CTCTATGGATCTTACAGTTAATTAGCGAAGATATCGCTTAGATTTGAAGAGATAAAAGCGTATTCCATTAACACCTTGGTTGGAATTCATATATTGTATGATTCGCAATACACTCGGCGATAACTGCTCCGAACGTATAATGCTATTTAAATTAAAATTATTCAAAAAATCATGGGAAAAAGAAATTTAACGTGTATTTATAAATTAGCATTATTGCTTGCGAATAAATACGTGTAAAAAATCTAGGGAAAGAAACGTATAAAAATATATTTATAAATTAGCAATATTGCTTGCTAAATATAAATGAATTAAATGTTTGATAATTTATGTGATAATATAATTGAGAATTGTTGAAGAGAATTTTTAATAGTGTCAATTTTATATACATATATTTTTACGTAATGTTATGTAGTTATACATATTAGAAGATGTATGTTTTATAACAAATTCGATTGGACGTATTCAATAAATACTGCATGCACATTAAAGTCGTCGTACAGAAATTAATGTAAAGATGTGTGTTTAATATAAATATAGAAAAAAGTTAAACGCGAAATTTTTAATACGCTGTGAAATATATTTGATTTCACTTTTACACCTAGATTAATTCATTTTATAACGGCTTCAATATGCACTACTAGTGCGTCCAATCGGATTTACTATTAGATCAATTTTTCCAATTTAAGATCTGGAATAATTGAGACAAATGAAATATGCGCGAAATTATATGACGAAAATTACGTAATAAGCGGAACAGCATTTAATACTACATTCTCTAGTGACCGAATTGATCAGTCTACTTCGAAATGCGCAAGATAAATGACACTTGGCGATATTGAATAAACACTCGATACGCGGTGAAATCTATGCATTCGTAGCAGCCAACGCAGTAAAATATTTCTAGAAAGAATTCATCCACTGATAGATGACGGGTTTTACAAATATTGATGGCCGCTCGTCTTATATAGTGGGTCAGAGCTTTTGATTTTGACTTTCCGACGAAGACAGCGTCGGAAATATGGCCGTCGCGCTGATGACGCCGATGATGACGATAATGATGATGATCGTCATGATGATGATGGAGATGGTTCTTGATATTGGGTTCTTCGAAGGAGAATACCTACTGGGTGGAGTGCGAAGCGCCGTGTACAACGACACCTTCGTGTCTGCTTCGAATCTGTAATTCAAATTCGAAAGTCAAATTAATTTAACGCTCGTCATTTTTCACGTTTCGGCGGCGCCGCGCCGCGGCACGCAGAGCCCCGGCAGCTATCTTTCGATATTTCATCCCATAGAAGGCCGTGCCCACTCCTTCTGTGATAGATGCATCTCTCCGTGATTGTGCTGTCACGCTCTTGAAACGAGGAAGACGCGCCACGAATATTTCAAGTATTATTACAAATGCGCGGCCGTGAGAGCGAATGACAGTCGACATTTCGCTACCGATACGTACACGAGAGATTTATCTTATTCCTTGCACTGACCTTGTGCAAGATTCGTACAGATGATGTGTAAGTTACATAGCGCCATGTAAATTCGTCATATCGCATGTGCGTTAATTACATAAGTAAGTTCTTCGCTAGAGTGATCGCTCAAGTTATATAAACGTATATTGACGTAGTTGTTATTTCTAAGAATAAAGATAATTTATACTATTCGATTTGATACTATTCGAGTACACTCCGAAACTAGATGCTCCTATCTCGAGAGTTATTATGAGTTAACAAGTCTCGCAGGTTATAAATATCTCTCACTTTATAACCTATCGATATTGAGCGATGCATGGTGGTTGAAACCAGTCGGCAAGCCGAGTGTTAGTGCTTATAATCGCGTTAGCCTAATCGGTGCTATAGGGAGTCCGTTTCAGAGTTGAAAGGGACCAAAAGCACTAAAACGGTCCTATTAAGTCTCTATAGACCGCCACAATTGGGCCACCCAATCCCCAATACAATAACGTAGTAACTTTTCGGGGAACCAAGTTTATCTGGGTTCGTGAAGGGGATTGAAACGATTTCATGCTTGTCACCACTATTCTCATTTCCTTGGAAACTAAATCTAAGGCACATTTCTTAAACTCATCTCAATATGAGATCTCTATGTTTTTTCAAATAGTTAATTAATCTTCGAATGCGTAGTTTAAACGAATAATTTCTAGTATATAGAAATAAATCAATCATATAATAACATGTTATAATTACTATGCAGCATAATATGAAAAAACGTAAGAATGTTTTTTAAATTTAATACTTATATGTGATAAAATATATATTGTGAAAAAAATTTATATTACACTGGCATTATAATTATTATTGAAACGATGTGATAATTCGCTTTACATGTGAAATATTTTCGAAATTTTCTAACACTCGTTTTCAATGTAAATTAAATTCAATTCTGGTTCAACCAATTCCTAGAATTAGAAAAAGATGTAAAATTAGTTGAACCAAGATGAAAGTTAAACATCATTTGTGGAAACGGTTGTAAGAACGCGAGAAAAAAAAAAAGAACACGTGAACACCTTTCCATAATTTATCAAGCAGTCGAAGTAGGCTTAATCCGTTGATCCTTTTTCTTCTCCGCCCTCGGCGATGATGGTGAAGGGAAACCGACGTGATGCATGACTGCACCCCCGTAAATTATTATATAAGCGCCACCCTATCTCTGAATCTGCGAAGTTTCAGAAATCTCTTTCTCGTTTCTCCATTTCTCCTGCCTTCTATCCCATAGATCACAAAGAAGCCGCCAGTAAGTTTACGGTAAAGTTTATAGGAGGCAAAAGGGGAAATGTGTTGCCCGCTGAAAAATCGCCGGCGCTGCAGCTATTATTAATCTGCGTCCGACAGACACGCGCGTGAGCGCCGGTTGCGACGTGTTTTCATGACATAATTCGGAATCGATTTAACTTTTTAGCGCCCCTGCGTGACGTGTAAAGGACTCTTACTTGCTGCACCCGTCCGTAACTCAGGACGTACAACATTCCGGCTTTTAAGTCTCATTACCATACTCCTTCATTTGCCGCTCGGGTTCTGCATCCTATTACATAGCTATTACACTGCCGGTTTACTCGACCGGTTACCGGTATACCTGAATATTTATTTAACCGATTACTTTTTTCATCGGCTCCAGGGAAATTCGATCGCCGTCGCGCTGGCTGCTTCGTAAAATTATGGGCAGCGAATGAAGGACGGATAAGAGGCTGCTGCCCTTTCAAAGGCGGCGCTGTGTTATTATATGCACGCTTATAATATCGCACTTGAGATTATTAATAACATTATTTGGTCGAGGTAACTAACTATGTATAATCCGTGTAAATAATTATATGGTAAGAATGTTAATAAGAATCACTTATTATAAAAGTACGAGTGATTCTGCGAAGTGACCGTTATTTAACAACGATCATGGGGAATATTTAACCCACATATGGCACCTTAATATAAATATATACATATTAATATTTCTCGTAAGCAAATCTCTCTTTAGCTGGCTCCGGTCATGTAAAATCTTCTAAATTCAGACAAATTATTAAAAAGTAAATTGTTTTCTTTGTAACGCCAATTACCTTCTTGAAATGTAAAATCACAAAATTAAATTGCAATCACTAATGTTGCCAAAAGTAAAAATTTGTGCTCTCTTTCCTTGCAGATTCTTTAAAGTGATGGATGATTTCACATCGACATGCGGTGAAGGTGAGTTTGCATTAGTTCAAATATATTTCGAACACAAAATTCCTCGACTCAGAAATCGAAGTAATTTCA